TGCAATAGACTATAGCTGGTGCGCCACACTGTAAAATATTACGCCACTTTGATAAGAATGTACATTTGTCAGTCAAGAGCTGTGCTGCAAGTTAGACATTATGAAAGTTAATTCTGATATTTTCGACGATGATTAGTAAGAACTTATCCCCAAAGTAACCAAAAAAGGGTAAAATAAGTGACGTCATCTGATAAGGGAGTCAAATTGACGTAATTTCGAGGCGCCATTTCGAACTTGTTTTTTTATACGCCATTTTAAGCTCATTTTACCGTCACGATGAGGTCGAGTATCACACACAACCTCGCACAGTTTTTGAGCGTAGACTAGAAACAACAAGGGGGGATGACAGGGAAAAAAATAGTACAGTTTCTGTAATCTGCAGTTTATCAGAATGCCCCAAAAACAAAAATATTTGCCCAGTTAAAACTGTGATACGGTACAACAATTAAATTTCCAGAGGAGAGCAACTGCACAAAAATCGTAAAACACGCCTCCCCCCCCCTTTCCAAAAAATGTTCGTCAGTTACGCTATTTGTGGGCGATTGAGAGGAGCTGCATTTTGTTTCAAAGCGCCTGTCTAGAAATGTCTTCAGATGGCGCCAAGTTAAGAGCACTTAACAAATCTCAGTCGCGCACAAATCAGTCACGTAACCATGCGACAGGGCCATAAACCGCGCCTGCAATAAGTAACAAATTTCAATGCATTGTAACATTTGTACAGTGTTATATTTACTGCTAGTTTCATTTCCGGATGAGATAGTCTCTGCGATAAGGACAAAAAACAGTGCACTGATTGCTATTAAGGTGTGTAACGGATGACAAGTGATACAAATCAAAGTGAAGTCATGCGCTCTAAATCGACATCATTGTAACAGTGGACCAGAACTATTAGCTTATTGATAAGCAATGAAGCGTTACCAGATAAGGACGTTGTTGAAAAAGGAGGGAGAGGGGATATAGGTACGTCACTGCGAGGTCATCATAACACAATAAATACATACCAACGCAATACATATAGATCACTCTGTCACTCACACACAAAAAGACATACCAAATAAAGATCATGCGGCGACTGCCAACTGTGTAATCGTTTTCGGAGGAAAATTTTGCGCCAGGGTTTAAGATGATAAGCCCAAGAAAGCTATGCGCAGAGGTATAAAGACTTGGCACACGCTTATGGTGAGCCGGCCTGCGAACTATCGACGATTTTTTGGCTCGTAGTTTCTCCGAACCGGGTTGTCATCATCTATACCGGGCCAACTCCCGCTAATTCTCATTCCTATCGGTGTGGAACTTCCTTATACGCGCGGGTGCGAGCGCTTCCGCACAAAGTGAGCACTGCGCTAGTGCTTGTCACCGCGCAAACTGAACACAAAAAGCGCTAATCGAAATCGAGATTGCGATACTGACTAAAAGAATATAGGTATATAGCTACCGTGTTGTAATTCTTATTGTGCGTCGCTCGCTGGATGAGATAACTAGTTATTGAAAATAAAGTGCGATACATTGTATATCAAAATGCGATAAAATTTTTATCGCCAAAATAATTCATGAGTTGAGAGTTAAAGAGTCATCTCCTTAGTTTAGCGTTAAAAAGTCATCGCAATTTGTTTTGGGCAATCGCATAAACAGTAGGTATATTTTCCCATAAATTGACTGTCAGTGAGGTGCTTTCAGCCGTTTGTACTGTTTTGACTTTCTTAAGGGATATAATTTTTTTGGACGTCGACATTAAGTAGTCCGGTTGTTTTGCGGTAAAAGTTTCAACATCGATCTTACTGATCTGATTTGTAATGCTACGAGCACTACTTTGTTTCAATACTTGATCCTCAGAAATACGAACGAATTATTCGTATGCTATAAGGATCAGCCGCTTGTAGATGACTAAAACAATGACGTCGACCGCCGTAATTTCAATACCAGTTATGACGGGAAGAACCAACATTGCTCACCTGGGGCTTATTGTAACAGTGGCTCGACACTCTGACGCTCGCCGGTATCACTCGGGGCACCAGGAGGTAGGTCGCTTCTTATCCAGCGACTCACCGGAAACACTGATAACACGGACTGATAGTGCTCAGCTACTCTGCGTTGGCTTCGCCAATATATTCGAACAACTATTCGCAGAACGCGGAGGGCCAATAGCGTCCCGAACCACAACAACGCGCCGCTCACGCTCGGTTACTCACTCACGTGTCCCGCGGCTGCGGCGCAGGCACTGAGGAGCAGCACCGCTCGTAACCTCGCGTGGCGCGGGGCCGGAGTGGGGAGGGGCCAGCGCCAGCAGCCACGAGCCACCGCCGTGACGCGAGGTGACGCATACGGAGGCATTGCACGGAGTTAGTGAGGCAGGTAGGGGCAGCCAAACACACATCTGAACCGTGTCAACAAAACAAAAAAAAACCAAAAAAAAAACAAAAAAAAAAACCACCACAAAAAAGACTACGTCGCGGGCCCGCTACCCCTGATCCTATAGACACCAAATCCACCCCGACCATTCAGAAGCAGTCTGACAACAATTCTGAACTTCGATAATTGTCTTTAGTAAGTGTTTTGGGCACTCCATTTTTGGAACTTCGTAGAAGCCACACCGAAGGGTGCATCACTTCGACCACTTTCCCAATTATATTTAGTTATTTTCCAGTCAAGTCCAACCCATTTCCCCCTATCAACAAATCAGTTTTGACTTCCATTCCCATAGTGAGGTGCCCCTCGGGCCACACGGACCGAAAGACAGCAAAATAAGTGACATAAGTTGCATGTGTCCTGCGTCCACTGTTCAAAATATTTTGTGATTTTCCAACACTCTCACGATACGAAGCAACTGTGAAATCACAACACTTCTTTGGAGTCAAAAATAGAGCATTTTTCTATTTTACATGGAAATAGTTGTGAACCAATCGTAATAATTCCTGAAGTTATAAATTTTTGACAACGCAGAACAGTTGTGATTTCACAAAGAGTCCTGGCAGCTTTTTTCACACGGAATTCTTCGTCAAGTTCCAACTTTTTTTTTAACTGTGTCCCCACCTGAACTTTCAGCAAAGCTGAGAGACATAGTGTGCGAAGTGCCCATTTCCCCCCGAGGGGTCCCCCCCACTTCCAAAATAGGTGAACAACGAGTTGGCAAGTGGTCGCGAGTTAGGCGTGAGTTGGGATGCAGTTTTTTTAGAGGTTTGCGCAATTTTTTGAGTATGCAGCGCGAGTTTTTTTTTTTTTTTTTTTTTTTCTTTTTCAAATTTTTCGTGAGTCTGACACGAGTTGTGCCTGTACGCGGGCTTGGTAGTATTTTCAGATGATCTTTTACTTACTGATAAACGTATGCACTCTCTTTTCCTTATGGATGTGCTATCCATATGTTACGGAGAATTTTGAGCAAACGAATTACGGATCAGCAATTTTACATGTAAAATTGTCCGCAATATAGATAATTTGACCCATATGACAGGCATGCCTTCATCTGTAAGGTATGGACGAAAGGTCTATACAATACGGATGAAGTCATGTCTGAAAATACACTGGTAAAACAAGTGTGCAAACTTTGCTCACCAACGTGTGTGCAAGTAATGATTCTGCTCATTAAATGGTGTTGAACTGAAGTTGCACACTTGCATAGTCAACACATTTTAGACGTTTTGTAAACGTTTAAATTCTGCACACTTGCACACACACAGTTCTATGCTATCAAAAAATAGGAACCAAATGGTGTGCAGCTGCTAGGTGCTATACTTTTCGGAAGTGTCGAAAGTTGAAACACCAATTTACGTATAACATAGTTAGACACTACAATGTGTCCAGAAAATGCACGCTTATTGAACCTAAACATCAATTGACGTGCAAATTTAAACATTTGTTTTACCAGTGTACGGACAATTTTATCTGTATTATACGGATGATTTTTGATCCATAATACGTTTGCACATAATCATCCGTAAGCGCGTCCGTAAGAATGTGAGAGTGTGTTGTACGAGGGAACCCAGCACTAAAAACACTCGCTGTACACTTGACAAAATGCTCGCGGATAATCGCGAGTACTCGCGTAAATCGTAGTACATCCACAGTAGGTTGGCGACCCCTACCCCTCACCCCTCAGTCTTGTCAACTTCTAGCTATAATTACATTAGATTACAAAGTCAAAACTGCTCACGCGGTTTTGTTTGGTAAAGTCGGCAAAAAAGCTAGCTTTGGCGAGCTCGCACTCTAGGTGGGGATCAAATATAATAATTCCACACCCTTAAAATAATCAAAACACCTGTGGATTTTCACAAAAGCTTGTAAATTTACAACACAATTTTGCTCTCCGCTCTCACATACGAAAAACGTCGTGCGACGTGACAAGGATCTGTACGAAGAAAACAAATGGCAATTCGGGCAGCATTGCTTAGGCAGCAGCCACCTCTTGAGGTGAGCAGGAGACCAGACAACGTACGTACCACGCACCTCCTTCCATCCCCTGCCCCTCCCGCCGGGCGCGGTCAACTTCCTCGTCCAAATGCCCGACAAGGAGAGTGCCCCTGGCCGCCTCTCTCGATTGCTTCCTGGAGCGAGCGGTCCAACCACGCCGCATGCGATACAGCGGGCTGATAATAGAGTCGATTCCGAATTAAAATGAAAATCCTTAAAAGAGCTCTTGTACTGTCACTACCATTGTCACCACATGTTACTGAAAAACGAAGCAATTTGTTGTATGCCCGCACGATATCTCCAGGGACGAATCAAGATATATATACTTGAAGGTTACCTGATAAACTAAGTGCATAACTGCTTAACACTTTTGAGAGTGTTGTTTAACTGACGAGCAAAATTAAACACTTGATTTTACCAGTGTGTTATATCTAAACAAAGACTATTGTCTCAAACTGACAAAAAAGTCAAATTTTACCGCATTCGGTGGACTAATTTCTCACCAACCACATGTTGTTCGACATTACTATTTGCATATGCAACACATTGACGCTACTAGGACAAGGGATACATACAATGTGTAGTAGTTAGTGGGGTAGCGCTATCACCGTGCACCAGTCGCGGAGTAGCGCCAGCGTGGGGTAGCGTCATTCGGGAGTAACGCCAAAGTTCGAGGGCCAGTGAGGGAATGCACCA